AGAAGCTCCCATTTTTAGATGCCACCATCTCCATTCTGGAAGGGCAGAGGCAGCACCAGGCAGCCTTACCTCCCCCTCAATGGTCCCTGTTCGTGAACTGAGATGGTGAGTGCTGCCCTCCAGAGCACTGGCCCAGAGCCTTTCCTTGCAGGCAGCAACTTCACACTGAACTGGAGCGTCACAATATCATAGAGGTTAAGGCCAGAAGGGACCGCACCACCAGAACATTTAGTCTGACCTCTGCACGCAACAGGCCACCAGCACCCACACACTAACCCCAACAACCAAATGAGATCCTCAGGAGACTAGACTATTATGTGCTACAGGCCGAGAATAGGAGGGACTGAGGTGCACCAGTGCTCGAGGCCCCTGTGGTGGCAGGGGAATGATTAAGTGAGATATACCCAGGTAATCCTTGCCAGTGACCTGCAGGGTCACCTTGAAGGTGAAAAAACCCCCAAGGTTCCTGCCAAACTGACCAAGGGGGAAATTCCTCCCCGACTCCACACATGGCGATCAGTTAGACCCTGAGCATGTGAGCAAGAACCAGCCAGCCAAGCACCGGAGAGAGTGCTCAGTGCTATCTCAGAGCCCTAGCCCTCCCTGCCCAGTGTCCCATCTCCATCTGTGCACATCCCGGGTGCTTTAGAGAAAGGACATAAAAAAACCCCTCCCAGAATACACTGGGGGGAAATAATCCCTTCCCGACCCCTGCTGGTAGCCGGTTGAAACATGAAGCATGAGCTTGAGGAACATAAGACATAAAATGGAAGCGACTCTCAGGGCTGCTGAGCCTGCCCCCTACCATCACAAGCAACCCTGTCACACAAATGCGTCCAGATCCCTCTTAAGTTATTTGCCCCCACAACTACTATGGGGAGGCTGTTCCAGAACCTCATCTCTCTGATGATTAGAAAACTTCTAACTGAAGCCTGAATTTGTTCATGGCCAATTTATGTCCATTTGTTCTTGTGACAACATTGTCCTTTAGTTTAAATAGCTCTTCACCCTCCATGGTATTTACCCCGGAATGAATTTACAGAGCGCAATCAGATCTCCTCTCAGCCTCCTTTTTGTAAGGTTAAACAAGCCATGCTCTTCCAGTCTCCTCCCATAAGACAGGCCTTCCATTCCCCTGATCAGCCTAGTAGCTCTTCTGTGCATCTGTTCCAGTTTAAATGAACCTTTCTTGAACATGGGTGACCAGAATTGTACCCAATGTTCCAAATGAGGACTTACCAGTACCTTGTACAGGACATTAATTCGTCTCTATCTCTACTGGAAATGTCTCGCCTGATCCATCCTAAGATCGCATTTGCTTTTTTCACACTGGTGTCATATAGTCATCCTGTGATCGACCCATACACCCAGGTTTTTCTCCTCCTCTGTTGTTTCCAACTGATAAGACCCAAGCTTGTAGCAGAAATTCTTATTATTAGACCCTAAGTTCATGACCTTGTACTTTGTATTACTGAATTTCATCCCATTTCTATCACTCCAGTCTTCAAGATCATCCAGATCTTCCTGTATAATATTCCGATCCTCCTCTGTACTGATGATGCCTCCCAACCTTGCAACATCAGCAAATTTCATTAGCACACTCTTACTTTTTGTGCCAAGGTCATTAATAGAAATATTGAATGAAATTGGTCCTAAGATTGATCCTTGAGGAAGTAACTAGTAACTTCTCTCCAGTCTGATCATTCACCTTTCAGCACAAACTGTTGCCTTCTCCCTGTTGGCTGATTCCATATCTACCTTACAATGCTTGTACTAATTCTCTAATTTAACTAATAATTTCCCATATGATACCATGGTTTACTGAAGTCCAAACATATTAGCTCTACTGCACTTCGCTTAACTAAAAAATCAGTTACTTCCTCAAAATTAAAGTGTCTAGGGAAGGGGTATCAGTCTGGGACTGTGCCATCTCACTGCCCCTCGTCCTCACCGATGCCTTCTACTGCCGCGAGGGTCTAACCAGCAGAGATGTAGAGGTAACGCTCAGACATGATAGGCAGCACTACAGCTGCCTGACTGCCAAGCAGACAAGGATATAAAACTGCCCTGCGAGGGTCATTAGCTGAGCAAGCAATCCATGCCACATGCATATTACAGCACAGGAGAAGCTTGCCATAAGAGAGCAAGAGCATCCTGATTCTGGGGATCAAACTTCATCTGTGTGAGTGACAATCACAAATGGGCCTTCCCAAATACATACAGTCCATGGCAGCAGCCACTGCAGAAGCTGCCTGTGTGCCCTCTGGCTTGAAGAGTAAATAGACCTGTAACTGCGCCAGCAGCTTTCCAAATGCAGCCAAGTGCTCCTGGGAAAGGAGACAGCACCTTCCCCACGCAGGATGCGGTGTGTTCTGACACCAGATTGATTACATCAGTGCAGGAGGATGCAGCCCCAGTGCCAAGGGAAGCAGAATAAAGATCAAAGGAAAATAAGAGCCTCTCCTCAATTAACCACTCTTTGCATAAGTGGAAGAGAACATTCCAAACCGGTTTGGATGGAATGTTAATGGGCCAGTCAGCACATTCACACTGTGCTGTGCTCTGGCCTGCAACTCCTCTAGGTGCCACTGCAGAGGGTTGTGCATGCATCAGAACACACTCTGCCCCCGCCATCCCCAAGTGTCATCACACAGAGTGCTGTGCACACACTCCACCCCACACAGTTCACACACTATGTCACCACACAGAGCACCATGCATGCGCTGCTACATACTCCAACTTACGTGCTAAAGCTTCTTGCTCCTATTTGCCCTGCCAGTCCCCAAACAGTCCAGACAGAGGGGGCTGGACTCTATTTCTTCTTGTGCATAATAATCCAAAGGATAAGTTTAAGTTACATCCGTGAAACCTGTGAAGACCCACTTGCCATCACTGGCTGCACTGGTGTCACCAAGGTCATAATTCAGCCTGCATATCTTTATTACCATGCACAATATAGCAAGAACCCAGCTTGATTCTCAGATCCCAGGGGAAAAGTGCAGGATTCAAAAGTGGCACCATATTTGATCTGGAGTTATTGAAAGACCATAGTCTTTGAGTCCTATGAGTCCTATGAATCCACTTGCAGTGAGTGACTCCTCAAGCTGGACCTGCCTTTTAACAGCAGACTTTATGAATGTTGTGGGAAAGGAACCCCTTCCAGTGCATAAGGGTGCAAAGGCCGGGCCAGAAGGCAGAGATAGCAAAATGCTGACAGTAGCCTGGAAAATGAACTGAAATGGAGCTAGGCAGACAGGAAGGGACTGAACACCAGCACTAAGAGATACCCTCCCAGGAAAAGACAGGCACACTTTGAGTCTCCTTTGAAATTTACAGCACCTCTCAGTGAGCCGGCACTCAGATACCAGGGTGATTGGCAACCTTACAGAAACACAGATTAGGGTTAGTTAGATAGGCAGGCATGCAGGACTTCCCATACTATTTGTTACAGGAGCTGCAGTGCAGAGTGAAGCCATAGAGGGGCCTGGCTCAACTTCTTACTGGTTACTATTATTACCAAAAATGTCTTGAGTTCCACCTGTGTCCTGGCTCGCCCAGCACCGCCACCACGGCCCCAGCCTCCCGACACTGCTGCTATTGCCCTGGCCAGCCATCACCATTGCTACTGTTTCATATTTGGACCACCTCTACCTAAAAGTCCCCACTATCTTACAAGTATCAGAGGGGTAGCTGTGTTAGTCTGTATCCACAAAAACAATGAGGAGTCTGGTGGCACCTTAAAGACTAACAAATTTATTTGGGCATAACCTTTTGTGGGGAAAAAAAAACCCACTTCTTCAGATGCATGGAGTGAAAATTACAGATGCAGGCATAAATACAGATATACATAAATACAGGTCTGCATCTGTAATTTTCACTCCATGCATCTAGAACTTAGAGAAGAGGGACTGGGAGTCGGGACTCCTGGGTCCTTTTCCTGCCTCTGCCATTGACTCCTTGTGGGAAGCAGAGAGAATCACTCTGTGCCACTGTTTCCACAGCTGTGAATTTGGGATTTAGTTCAGTAGAGAACTAGACCTTTTATCTACTAGCAGCATCTGCAGCAATGCTGGCTTTGATCCTCATGCTGCAGGGCATGACCTGATCCCCAGCTGGGCTGGTCAGGAAGGGATTCCCCATGAGGAGGGCTGCTGAGGTCTTCTGCCAGCACTAGCCACAGTCAGTGGCAGGGATGCCAGGGCTAGATGGAGTCAGGCTGGAAGGAGCTGCGGGTCCATGGGTGTGTGTGTTGGGGCTACGGGGGGGATGCTGGTCTGGGAGGGGCTTCCCCTGGGTTGCCAGGCTGGATGGAGTCAGGGGTCTAGCAATGGGGGTGGGATGTGTGTGCTAGGGCTAGTGGTCTGGCTAAGGCAGATGGGGCCACCTGGCCTAGAAGGGTTGGGCCATCTTGCCTGGGGATCTATAAGGAAGGTGAAGGTGTGGGTGGCAGGGGGCCAGGGGTGCTGGGCTGGCTGAGAGGGGGCGGATCTGGCCCGGGATTCCCACGTTTTCCTCCCACCTCATTGCAGTGAACCTCAAGCCCGGTTCTACGCTGCTCAGATCGTCCTGACCTTTGAGTATCTGCACTCACTGGATCTCATCTACCGAAACCTGAAGCCAGAGAATCTCCTGATAGACCAGCAGGGCTACATCAAGGTGACGCTGCTGCCCCTCCCCCACTCCTTCCCTTCCCCATCCCAGAGCTGGCTCCTGGCTCCCTGCAGTGACTTCCTCCCTGCCCAAATCTCTCTCTGCTGCCATCCCCTTGCCAAAGCCAAGACACCCCAACATGGCCAGAATACATCAATCATCTGCTCTTCCCCTTCCCCTCCTGCTGTCACACCTCCGGGCTGATCCAGCTTCTCCCCTCTCTGTGTTTTGGCTCCAGGTGACGGATTTTGGTCTTGCCAAGCGGGTGAAAGACCGAACCTGGACTCTGTGTGGGACCCCGGAATACCTGGCCCCTGAGATCATCCTCGGCAAGGTGAGCTGGGGAGGGCCTGTCCGCTGCCTGATCTCTAGCTGATCCCTGGCCACCAGGTGGTTCCTCCTGCCCCCCAAACGTTCGGTGCGTGACCCTGGCCTGCTTTCCCCAGGCAGGGTTATAACAAGGCTGTGGACTGGTGGGCCCTGGGCGTCCTCATCTACGAGATGGCGGCTGGTTACCCCCCATTCTTCGCGACAGAGCCCAATCAGATCTACGAGAAAATCGTCTCTGGCAAGGTATGTGGGCTGGGGGAGGGGACACTTGTGTGATTTGGGGGGGGGTGCCAGCAAAAGGGGGGTGCCAAGTCTCAGCGACTGATCAGAGAGATGCTCACACGCTGCGCCCCCAACAGGCTCATGCCCTCCCATGCTCCCCCAATCCCCAACACGCGGGCATCCTCCCTGTCATGTACCCCATTCCCCCTGCACCCCAACACATAGACCCTCCCTTGCCACGTACCCCTATTTCCCCAACACATGGACTCCATCGCCCACCCCGCCACCAATGTGCTCCCTGTAACTCTCATGGGGACTCCTGGAACAGGTGCCTTTGGTTTTCTTATACACTGTTGTGAGTTGCAAAACCCTCCGCAACCCTGCTACGTTGCAAGACTAAACATTCCTTAAACACATCAGTCATCTCCAGGCACTGGTAGAGCACTTATCGCCATAGTAACCAAGAGCCCATAATATTCCTCTGCCCACCCCAGCACCTTCTCGCCAAGGATCTCCAAGCACTCGTGTTGGACACGGTCAGCTTTAAACTTAGTGGGGAACTCAACAGGCCTGGGTTCTGTTCCCGGTTCTCCTACCAGCCTGCTGTGTAACCCTGGGCAAGTCACTTCTCCCTGTGCCTCAGTTTCCCTTTATGTAAAATGAGTATAATGATGCGGCAGCCCTGCTTTGAGATCTGTGGAGGAAAAATGCTCAGTAAGAGCTGGGGGGATGCTACTAATTAACCATTTCAGCTCCTGTGTCAGTCCTCAGTACCCCCCCCCCACACACACACTTCTTGTCCACTCATTGTCCTGGAGTGTTTTTAAAGGGCTTGTTATTTATTATTAGGTGTATTACGATAGTGCCTACAAGCCCCAGTCATGGGTCAGGACCCCCATTGTGCTAGGTGATGTACATATTAGGTGTATTATGGTAGTGCCTAGGCACCCCAGGTGTAGCCCAGGACCCCCTGTGCTAGGGGCTGTACATTACTAGGTGTATTATGGTAGGGTCTCAGAGCCCAGGCATAGCCATGCAAGGGGCTGTACATTATTAGGTGTATCTATGAATCTAGCCACGAGGTCAGGGCAGGTAAAAGCCAGACCTCTGTCTCTCCTCCCCACTGCAGGTCCGGTTCCCGTCTCGCTTCAGCTCGGAGCTGAGGGACCTGCTCCGGAACCTGCTGCAGATGGACCTCACCAAACGCTTTGGCAACCTCAAGAACGGGGTCAACGACATCAAGAACCACAAGTGGTTTGCTACCACCGACTGGAACGCCATCTACCAGAGGAAGGTAGGAAGGCGGTGGCGGGTGGCGGCTGGCAGAGGAGAGCCTGGGTAACTTCCACATGCATGCGGCCTCCGTCAGCAGGAATTGAACCTGGAATCATCAGTGCCCAAGCCTCTAGGAGCCCATTGGTTCCATGGGACTCTGTAGCAGGGTGTTGTGGCTGGGTCCAACCACTAGGGGGTGGTATGCTCACCCAGCATTGGTTTAAAGTAGGGAGCCCTCAGTCACCTGTTTGTAACATGGCAGCAAAAGCATGGTCCAGTCCCCACCCCCTGAGGATAACAGCCTACTACTGCTGCTGCCAGCTAATGGCGTTATTCTTCTAGCTCCGGTGGGAGAGGGCTGTGCTGAAGGTGCTGATTAAAACCCTACTGATGATGCAAGTGGGGGCTCTTTCGGGGATCCAACGGGCTCATGACCCCCTGCCCTTCCCTGATTGTAAAGTGAGGGGAGGGAGTTCTGGCTAGATAAAAGGGGGCTTGAGGAGGCGCTGATCCTGCGTCCCTCACCTGGTTGCTAAGGGGCCCGATCCTGTATCTCTTAAGAGTGCTGGGGGCCCTGTTCCTGGGCTCCTAAGCAGGGTCATGGGCTCCCCCTTCCATGATTGAAAAGTGTGAGGGTTTCTGGCTGGATGCGGGGGCGAGGGGCGCTGATCCTTGCCTGCCTTGTTACAAAGTTGGGGCCTGATCGTGCGCCCCTAGCAGACCCAGGAGTGGGGCGGGGGGGATACAAATGTTGATCCCTCACCTCGTGCCCAACCTGCCCCTTCCCTCCCTTTTCAGGTGGAAGCTCCCTTTATACCAGAGTGCAAAGGCCCAGATGACACGAATAACTTCAATGACTACGAGGAAAAGGAGATCCGTGTCTCGATCACTGAGGAGTGCGTCAGGGAATTTGCTGAGTTCTAGGGCCAGTAGCCCTCCCCCCAAAATCTCCCTTTCCCACAAAGAAGCTTGAGAGTCCCATCTAGAGGGTGGGGATATCATCCGCCCCGCCCCGGGACACACGTTTGTGTCCTCTGACAAACCTTGTTTCACTGGAAAAAACAAAACAACCCCCCTCCAACCCCCACTTCCTCTTTAACAGTGTGCTTTTTGTAAACATATTTGAAACAATTACCAATAAAGTTTTGTTTAAAAAAAAATAATGGGCTGTTCGGCTCTAGGGGACGGTTGTTGTTGCTGTGATGAGCCGGGAGCTGTTCCTCTCCCTGGAGGCCCAAAGAGTTCAGGGATCTGGCTGGGGGGGTTGGGGGGGCGGCGGCTGCCATTAGTGGTACCTGAACTTGCCTTGAGTTGGAAGCCCAAAGGGACAAGTGTCCGTGCTTAAATGGGGAGGTGGCTGGTTGATGGATAAACGGGCATCGCAGGCAGCAGCGGAGAGGTTATTTTATCGCTGTGTCTGGCGGGGGAGCGACAGCTGCTAGAATGCCATGGCCAGGTCTGGCGCCCACAATTCGAGAAGGAAGGTGAAAAATTGGAGAGGGGCAGAGAGTTGCCATGAGAACGATTAAATGGGGGGGGGGAACTTGCCTTATGCTGAGACGCAAGGAGCTTCTTAAAGCGAAGGTTAAGGGGTGCCGTGATCCCTGTCTCGAAATACCTAGGGGAATAAAACTGTGATATTGGGCCAGTCCCGCTAGCAGACAAAGATCTAAGGAGAGCCCGTGGCTGGAAGCTGAAACTAGAAACATTCAGACTGGGAAAAAAGGGCAGATTTTTAACTGGGGTGTTATTAGCCATTGGAACCATTCACCAAGCATCGTGGTGGATTCTTCATCACTGATGCTGTTTAAATCGAGATGGGAGGTTTTTCTAAACGATCTGCTCCAGTTCCAACAGGAGTTGATTCAGGGAAGTCCTGTGGCCTGTGTTACGCAGGTCAGACGAGGTGCTCACAGTGGTCCTGTCTGAATCGATAATCTAGCCATTTCTGAGGCCGGGGCAGGAGAGGTGAACAGCCAGGCCGACCCCGGTGTGCAGCAATGCAGTGCGCTAGCAGCGGGGGGAATGCCAGAAGCAGAATACTTCCATCTAAATGTGACTATGTGCACACCTTCCTTATTGCAGGGAAACTCCTTCCATGTGTGTGAATCTGCTTCCAAAGGGGATCAGGTAATGAGTGCGATTGGGCTGGAAACCGACTGTGTTTTGTGAAAGAATTGGAGGGTTTCAAATTTATTCCCATTCTACATTGGAGTAAGTCTGAGCAGGACATTGAACCTGGGTCTTCCACAGCAGAGGTGAGAGCCCAAAACCACTGGGTTACTGGGGGGTCTCGTTTTGACCCGAGAAACCTTTCATTGAGACCAATCTGTCCTTGAAAAGTTTTGTTGTCTATAAATCCACTTTTTCTGGCAATAAAACTCCCGCCCAGCTTTGCCTCTGGCCGCCACTGCCTGTACAAAGGAGCACGGCTGCAATTTTTTAATGTAACCTTCATATTGTTACTCGTAGCAACCTTTGTGCTTTGAGCACAAGGCTGACACTATTTGTGTGTGGGGAAGGTCCACAACAGTAAGTAGGGGGAATACAGGAAAGAATTGTAGCCGGGTTTGGGACCACCGGAAATGAAGGCAAAACAACAGCATTAACCGCGTGGAGATCTTGAACAAAGCAATGTGGGTTGTTTTATTTTTTTTACAGGGAAAATGGGCTTATTACAAGAGCTAGTAGTAGAAACAATAATACCCTGCTGTAACAAAGACTTTATTACTGGTGCTTTTTTTTTTTTTTTTGCTTTAGAGCGCAGTGGGTACTGTGGTACCCTTGGAAGTGATTTAGAAGGATTCACAGAGATCTTAGCTGGTTCGGCTGTTTGAGTTTGCCCCACCTTATTTGCATGTCGAGAGCAGAGAGAAGAGGGTATCTGACAACAAGTGGACAAGATCAGGGCTGAAAGCTGCATGTGATTGAGCTGATTCTGTTGTGTGTAAAGTAGCTAACACCAGATTGGTATTTTTATTAGGAACTTGTAAGAATACGCCATTTGGTGTACAATCGATTGTACAGCCTAATTTACACAAAAGATGCTGTCCCAGTAAATTGACAGGAGACGATGGGCTAAGTAAAAAGGCATGTTGATCAGAGATGAACATGAGTGAAACAGAAAGAGGTTTTGTGACAGGATGTGGAACAGGTTGATTTGAAATACCAACAGCATTAATAGATGAGGATGACAAAGGAACAGAGGGAAATTCTAAAGATCTTAAGGCCGATTTGCTGGCTTTAGTGTCCACAAGACAAGCAACAGATTGTCCTGCAATTTCACAATTTACATATGGGCCTTCTCGATTAATAGGAATTAAAGGATTTATGAGGCTGTTTTAATAAGAATTGTTTTGTGGGGAAAAAGCAGGCTCTTCAGGATTTGGGAAAGAGGGTGGAGGATTTTGAGACGGTCGGTTCAGGTATTTGTTTTTTTTAATGTTCCTTTTGGCCACAAAAGTGGTATGCAGTATTTTTTGGTGGGGCAGGATATGAGGGACCTTTTCCTTTCTTTTGACCTTGACCTTGTTTTTGCCCCCCCCTTGTTCCCCCACCACTTTTATATTTATTAATACGTTTGCAATTGTAAGGCCAAGAGTTTAGTTTTAGTATTTTTGTTTGTTTTAGGCGAGCTGTACAATGGTTGGCAACTGTCACCAAGTCAGAAAGAGGTTTAGTTTGCCAGCCAATGCAGATCATTTTTAACTGCTGCTGAACCATTGGTAAGAGTTCCTGAGCAAAGGCAGCCCCTACTGCCTCTTTGGCATTGTTAGTTGGTTGGGCAATTTTCGAGTGTTGTTTAAACACCTTAGTTAGTTTATTTAGATAATTAGCAGGGGATTTTGTTATGCAGACAAAACTACACAGGATCGTTTCAGGGGGCAAGGCAAAGGTGACATTTATTATGATAACACAATTTGATTTATGATCAATAACACACACACATACACACACACACTTTCTGCAGCTGCTGTATAGTTACCAGTCCTGAACATAGCTTGAGTCCGTGGCTTGATTTCGCAGCTTGTGGCGGCTAACTGGCCAGGAAAGCCAGGCACAAGGAAGGGCTGGGTCTGCCCTCCCATGTTGGCAGCAAAACGTTACCTCCACGTCTTCCATCTCACCCATCCTTTTTGTAGGCTTTAGTTTGAATCCAGAGTCTATAGGTCTTGCTGTGTCACGCTGCCTCTGGGTTCGGTGTGATTGATCACCCGTCAATTGCAGCCTCATACCTGGCTTTGATCTTCGTTCTATTGTACTTTTGTTCTTTTCTTTTTAGTGTGGACTCTTCTTACTTTGTTAGGGCTGTTGTCTGCATCTTCAGCCGTTGGTGTTTGAACTCTATTTCATCAGGACAGGCTGGCGCTGGAGATTGATTCCATCATCCATACATACCTCATTCACACATCTAAACTAAACTAATAAGATTACAGCAGGGTTTTGCAAAAATGAAGGTTGCAGCAAGCTTTTACAAAATGGAGTGAGCGTTTTAAAATGGAGTTTGAATTACAATATGAACAAGTGCAAGGAATGACAAAGAGTGAACAGAAGCTGCAATGTAGACAAGTATAATGAATGGCAAACAGTGAGCAGAAGTTATAATGTTGAAACTGTGCAAGTTCAGTGATTTAAGCAGCAATTGGATTGAAAGTGAAATTTAGGAGGGCAGCTGGCTGAACGCTGTGGCTCTTAACAAGCATCTTAATTGTCAATTAGCCAGTTCTTGGGGTAACCGGTTTTATGAATGAATGTTGTTTCATTCATAACACTTTACTTATGAAGTTACATTAATAAAGTGAACAATTAAAAACAATTTCATTCATCAGTTCTACAATTTGCCCTTGTTTTGTTTACAGTTGTTAATTTTTGTCCAATCGGTTTTTTTAGGGCAAACCTCCGAAATGAAGTTCAAGAGACGATTCCTAGCCTTACTCAGGTCACGTCCAATTCCAGGACTGATATTGGGCCAACCGGCCTGGATGGAAAGCCGTTGTCGAACTTCGGCTGGCATAACTACTCGCAAGAGTTGGTTAACATTCGCCCGGGACGGATTGTAACACTGAATCACTGTCTGGAGCTTTTTTTTAACATTAGGAATGTTTTTTACTAGATTTTTAAGGTTTTTTGGTGTTCAAGGGGCATGAACTGTAACCAAGTCCTCTTCAGCACTAGGCAATTGTTTTAAGGGAGCCTGGAGCACTGATACCTGGCTCCTAGTGTGGTGGGCAATTGGGCCAGGAGAAACAGGGTCGGGTGAGCTGCTGGGGAGATCAGAATCGGAATCAATTCATGGTGAAGAGGAAGGTTCTCCCCCAGTAGCAGTTGATCCATGCTGCGGTGAGGTTTGTGCTACCAGCGGAGGGGGGGAAGGGGCCACTGTCTGCTGCCATGAAACATTGCTGAAAAAGTATCAGAGGGGTAGCCGTGTTAGTCTGAATCTGTAAAAAGCAACAGAGGGTCCTGTGGCACCTTT